TGTGCGTCCCGTCGCATCTTTGTTGTGTAAGATGTCTTCGAGCGGGAAGTCTGTCACCACGGTGATCTGGTGGCTTTCAAAATAGTGGCGAAGCTTGCGTGAAGTGATCAATAGGGCGTAGAGTAGTTTTTGCACATGCGGGTACCAGATTTTTGATTCAGATAATACTTCGCTGATGTAGTATACGGGTCGTTGTACTTTATACACGCGTCCTTCTTCTTCTCTTTCTACGACTATCGCCGTGCTGACCACAGCAGTGGTCGCCGAAATGTATAGCATCACATCTTCGTCTTTCCTTGGTGGTGTGAGAATTGGTGAGGATGTGAGGTATGCCTTAAGTTTCTTGAAAGCTTCATTGGCTTCTTCTGTCTATTCGAACTTATCTGTCCTCTTTAGTAGTTTAAAGAAAGGTAACCCTTTTTCACCGAGCCTTGAAATGAAACGATTGAGTGCCGCCATGCAGCCCGTTAGCTTTTGCACATCTTTGATGTTTCTGGGTGGGCCCATCTCCGTTATGGCTCTAATTTGCTTAGCGCTTGCTTCGATTCCGCGATGACTGACCAAGAAACCGAGTAGTTGTCCTGAAGGAACCCCAAACACACATTTGTTCGGGTTCAATTTCCATCTCCACTTTTTTAGGTTCTCGAAGGTTTGTCTTATGTCTTCAATCAGTGTATCCAGGTTCTTTGTTTTTACAACTACATCGTCCACGTATGCTTCTATGTTTTCACCAATTTGATCGCCAAGGCATGTTTGGATAGCTCTTTGGTAGGTGGCTCCAGCGTTTTTGAGTCCAAATGACATGGTCTTATAGCAGTAGGCACCAAACGGGGTGATGAAAGATGTCTTGCTCTGGTCTTGCTCTTTTAATGCTATCTGGTGATACCCTGAATAGCAATCAAGAAAGGATAATAGGGCGGATCCTGCTGTTGAATCAACTATCTGATCAATGCATGGCAGCCCGAACGGATCTTTCGGACAGTGCTTGTTGAGATCTATGTAATCAACACACATGCGCCATTCTCGTTCGTGTTCTTTTTCTGTACTAGAACTAGGTTTGCTAGTCAATCTGGATGAAGGATTTCTCTAATGAATCCGGCCGCCATTAGCTTTGTGATTTCTTTTTTAATTGCCGCCTTCTTGTTAGGTGAGAATCGTCGTAGCCGTTGCTTTACAGGCTTGGAGCTTTCATTAATATCAATTCTGTGCTCAGCCAACTCTCTTGGGACACCTGGCATGTCGGCCGGCTTCCAAGCGAAGGTATCTTTGTTGTCTCGAAGAAAGTTGGTGAGCGCGAGTTCCTATTTTGCCGAGAGGTGAGCACTGATGGTTGCTGTCTTAGAGGCATCGCCAGTGCCCAGGTCGATTTGCTTGACGTCGGCTTCTTTTGGTGGTGCGATGATGCTGGGGCTTTTTAGCTGGTATTTTTAGTTCTTCTTGGCTCATCTCTGTAGCAATTGTGGCTATTTCTTTTCTTCCATTATCGGCTTGTGCTTTGGCTGCGATTTGGATTGCCTGAACGTCGCAGTCAAAAGCACGCTTCAAATCACTTCGAAGAGAAAGGACGCCGTTGGGTCCTGGCATCTTAAGTAGTAAGTATGGATAATGTGGTATTGCCATGAATTTTGCTAGTGCTGGGCGTCCGAGGATTGCATGATATGACAAATCGAAGTCTGCAACCTCAAATTTGATAAACTCTGTTCGGTAGTTCGAAGGAGTTCCAAAAGTAACGGGTAAAGTAATTTGTCCAAGTGGCATGGCTGCCTTGCCTGGTACTATGTCGTAAAAAGGTGTACTTGTTGGTGTAATCATCCCGGTGAGTTGTAGTCCCATCTTCCTTAGTGTTTCTGAAAAGATGATGTTGAGTCCGGCTCCCCCGTCGATTAGTACTTTGGTGACAGTCATACCAGCAATAGTTGAATCTAGCACCAGTGGATAATGGCCTGCGTTTCCCACACTAGTCCATTGGTCTTCTCTGGTAAATTAGATAGGATACTGTGACCAATTGAGATATCTTGGAGTAGCCGGTTCTGCTGTCATGATAGTCCGTAGTGCTAGTTTTTCTTGATGTTTGCTTCTGCAATCTGGAGCCCCTGAGAAGATCACTGCTACCGTTCCCCTGGGTTTTTGGAATCCTTTGTCCTCGTGGTTGTCTTCATCTTTTTTCTGATTGTCCTCTTTGGTGTTCTCCTTACTATCTTTTCTTGTGTATCGATCATTGAAAGTGTAGCAATTTCCGATGGTGTGCCTCCCATTAGGGTGCAACGGGCAACGTATGTTTTCAATGTCATCATATCTTCTGGGTTTGGAAAACTTCTTTGATTTGTCGGCCATTGCTACGGTATTATCTGGTCTACGTTTTCTTTCTTGATGTCTGCTATTTCGATGATTTTGCTTGTCCGGGTTGTCCTGGTTGCTTCTATCCGGGAACCTCTCTCGTGTTTTTTCTTCTGCAGTAATCATCTTTTCTACTGTTCATCTGAATTCTTCATTGTTTCTCGGATTTTTTTTGCAGAAGTCTTGAAATTGTCACCTAGCCATGATTCCGTGAGAGAAAGCTTCAATTACTTCTCGTTCGGTGATGTCATGCACTTGAGCCCGTAGTTCGCCGAATCGTCGATAGTAATTTCTGAGACTTTTGCCTCCCTTCTGCTTGAGTCCTTTCAGTTTTGCATGAGTGATTGGGTGTGTAATGATTCCTGCGAAATTTTCACAAAAAACTCTTTGCAAGTCCTCTCAATTTCTGATAGATCCTGGATTTAATTTGTCGAACCATTGGAGGGGCATGGCGTCCAGTGCCATGGGAAAGAACAGGGTCTTGATATCGTCGTCTCCTCCGGCTAGTTCAATTGATTGTGAATATATTCTGAGCCATGACTTGGTTCAGTTTTGCCATCATACTTAGAGTGGTTAGACGGTTTGAACTTGTGAAGTAATCGTATTGATGCAAGCCTGTTCGTGAAACAGGGGAATCTGTCGTGCGTTCCGGCTTCTTTGAATTATGATTCGGCACCTCCTTCTGGCCAACTGTTGTTTTGATGGGAATAATTCTGCGAGGCTGTCTGGGTAGGCGCCCTACTCCTGGTCTTTCTTGGTTGTTCGAATCGGTGGCCTTGATTATGATCCTTCTTACTTTCTCCGTTATGACTTCCACCTGGCCCAAGTCTTTCGAAAGCGGACTTCCTTTGATTTTGATTTTCTTGCCTGTGGGTTGTTGATCTGGCGGGTGGTCTTGATTGGGCTCTCTCTTCATGCGTTCTCGGGATCATCGACCGGAGCAAGTCCTGGAGCTGTTCATACTTCTCACCGGGGTGTGAAGTTGCTCTGAGTTCTTCTAATGCTTCTCGAATCTTATCGTAAGACGTATTTGCCGTGCGTCTTCCTTCGACTTCTCGTTGTGATTTTCTTCTGTCGTATTCGGCCAACTTTGACTCGTATCTGATCCAGGCTTCCCTACGCTGCCTAGCACGGTGTTGGCGCCCTTGCTTCAACTTGTTTTTTCTTTCTCTAGCTTATTTCTGACTCTCGGTTTCTCCATCGTAGCCCTGGGCAAAGGGTGATATGTTGGATTCTGATTCATCTGATGACCTGACATCGGGTGCTTCTGGGGGATTTAATGGTGACCAAGGGCGTCGAACCATGAATACTTTCCGTGCGTGAGCCGCTTACATTATTAGGCGTTAGTTTTCATCTTGCCGGAGTTGTTGATGACTTTAGTAGATGCCTCGATGTCGCAGATCGAGTCTCCTTCTTGGTAAGGTAGAATAGCCGTCGTCGTCGTGTTGTCCATCGAATCTTCATTATCCTCGAGAATGAGTCCGGCCAAATGAACGATCTGCGCCTTGAGATGTTACAATCGGGGCGAGGCCTTCTTGAGCTCCCTTCGGTGGCATTCTTAGTCTTGGATCGAGGACTTCTCCGAGCCGTGCTGCGATAAGATGTTGCCATGTTGAGGAGTCCGAGTGGAGGAAAATCCAACTTCTTGAAGGGGTTCTGCACATACTCCGAAGTTGTATTCTTGATAGGTCGAGGCCGCGTTTTTAAGTCCCATCGAAAAAGAACTTCGGTTTCCGAAAGGACTTGGATAAGACTTCAACTTCGGATGCGGATCTCGAATTCGAGTCGGATGCGCAAAGTCATGGAACTGAGTTGAATCGAGATACTATGAGCTCGTGAATCTTCCGGAGATTTGATCTGTCGTGGTCTTGAATGTATATAGTCTTCATGGTGTTTCAATCTTGAGGAGACGACTTTGGAGCTTGCCATTGTTGTCCGCCTCGCAGATCCATGAGCCAAGATGAAAGTTGATCCCGTTGAGAAGATCATGTTGTTGAGGTCCATCGAGCTCTCGGATGCAAATTCGCCGAAAGCCCCTACCTGGCGCGCCAGCTGTCGATGTTTTACCACCGATAGCCTACCACGGGGGTCCCCGGGACAATATTGTTCGGGCTTCACAGATCTGAAACTCGACGGTGAACGCAAGAGACAGTCGATTTATCCTGGTTCGAGCCCTCGACCGTGGTCGAAATAATGTTTTCACGTCCAGTCGGCGTTAGCCTTTGCGTTGGATTGATTGTGTTGTAGAAATCATGATCTCTCTTCTCTAGGAATCCTGCCCTCCTTTATATAGTCAGGAGGTCAAATTCCTAGTCGGTTTACCATGAGAGTTTCTAGTAAGATTATAAAATAATACTACTACTAAGATTACATGGGAAGAATATTAGTTAGACTAGATATTCTCTCTTCCTTGTGGGGTATCATGTGGGTCCCGCATCGACAGAAACATGCCTAATAATGCTGTCACTTGTTACTAGTCCGTAATTATGAAACTGGTCACCTTCAGTGGCTGGCTTGTACTATCACAGCCTGCGCCTGCTTGGCCCCTTGCCATGTTGGCTGTTGCGACACCGATCTATCCCTCTATAAAACCCCAGCTGAAACCGAAGATGGCACACGACAAAATCACCACCCACCAGTCACCCACCAGGTGTTGAGAAGAAATGGCCACTCCCGCGCCTGCTCCCGGCGGCGTGGACGGCCGCAGCGGCTACTGCGAGGTGACCAGGACGTTCCGCAACCTGCGCCCGCCGGTGCCGCTGCCGCCGCCGGACGCGCCGCTCTCGTTTCCGGAGTTCGCGTTCTCGCTCCTGACGTCGTCCCCGCTCCCCGCGCACCCGGCTCTCCTCGACGCCGCCACCGGCGAGGCCCTGTCGTTCCCGGCGTTCCTGTCCCAGGTGCGCGCGGTCGCGGGGGCGCTCCGTTCCGTGGTCCGGCTCGGCCGCGGCGACGTCGCGTTCGTCCTCGTGCCGACGCGGCTGGACGTCCCGGTGCTCTACTTCGCGCTGCTCTCGTTCGGCGCCGTCGTGTCGCCGGTGAACCCCGCTCTCACCGCGGACGAGATCGCGCGCCTCGTGGCGCTGTCGGGCGCGTCCGTCGCCTTCGCCGTGTCGGCGACCGCCGCAAAGCTGCCGGCTGGCCTCCCCACCATCCTCCTCGACTCGGACCGCTTCCGCTCCTTTCTGCAGAAGCAGAGCGACGGCCGTGGCGAGGAGGGTCTGGCGGTGGTGCGGCAGTCGGATACGGCAGTGATCCAGTACTCGTCGGGCACAACCGCGCGGGTGAAGGCCGCGGCGCTGCCGCACCGGAGCTTCATCGCGATGGTGGCAGGAGCCCACGCTGTGCTCGGGAAACCGAGGCACGGTCGGGAGAGGACGCTGCTGGGCGCGCCCATGTTCCACTCGATGGGGTTCTACTTCGCGCTCAAGGGGGTGGCGCTGGGGCAAACGACGGTGGTGCTGACCGACGCGGTGGCGCGGCGCGGCGTGAAGGGGGTGGTCGAGGCGGCGGAGAGGTGGGCGGTCACTGAGATGACGGCGTCGCCACCGGTGGTGGTGGCCATGGCCAAGGAGCAATGCCACCAGCTGCAGGCGCTGGAGCGCGTGGTGTGTGGCGGCGCGCCGCTGCCGAGGACGGCAGCCGAGAGTTTCCGACGACGGTTCCCCAACGTGGATCTCTGCATGGTGAGTTAATTTTGGTTATGTTGTCGCTTTCGGTCAAATAATTAATTATTGTGAGCTAGCGTTGTTACAGTAGTCGATTTCTATTCGAATTATTGCACATATGCTGGTGGAAATTAATAAAAACAATAAAACAAATAGACTATTTTGTTGAAATCTTGTTCGCTTATTACGAAGCAAAATGCCAGGAAAGAATGCCAAATTTTAGCGGGTCACTGAACTTTGTGAAATAATAAAATCTAATATAACTAAATGAAGGTGATCCGAGAAACAGGTTTGGTGCAGTACTAATGGTTTGAGTATAGTACGAAACCATGCATCTACTAGCATTCAAGTTCACTATATTTTATTTTATTTTCTTAAAAATTGCTTGAAATGTTAATACATACTCCTATTTTGAAAGGAAAATCAAGTGCAAGTCTTTAAGATCCTGTGTGGATCCACCAGCTAGCTGCTAGCTAGCTGTGCTAAAAGTATAGTTGAGGTAGATCCTAATAGGATTATGCATACTTATTATCTAAAAATAGAGGCTAAGTAATTGTTAGTTAAGCATCCAGCTAACAACTATCCTATATACTAGCTGTCCTAATCTAGCTAATAGCAGTTAATAGATTGCTAAAATATGCGTTTGCCCTCTCACATACCTACCACGTGTTCTACCAATAGTAGTCTTTAAAATGTGGAGAACACAAAACCATCAATACATCCGCCTTCTACTATTGGGTCCAAATAACATCTAGCCTACAAATTAATACTCTATCTCTCCGTTTCAAATCGTCTCTACATGTTATATATTTATATATACGTGGAGGAAGTAGCACAAGCCAATTCTTTGGTACGGTGCTCCATTAAATAGTCATAATTGCCCCTTGGCCCTATTAGGTACGGTATATATCACGGTGGGCATGGGCTAACTGCTCGCGTCTGAAAGGTCCTTGCATGCATTGTAGCTATTGACGTGTAGTTAGTAGAAAATGTATGCATGTGAATATCCCTGCTAAATCGAAGACTCAAATTGAATCAGAGGTAAGGTGAGGTTGATATATATTAACCGAAAATGCACCTGCAGAGAAATGCTATCTATGGCTGTTGACGTGGCTACATCTGCTATCTATGGCTGTAATTCTCTATCGTCAGCGGTTACCTTACGTCTACTGTACAGTACTCTTTCTGTCCAAAAATAGAAGTCGTTCTCGTTTTCTGATGAGTCAATTTTTTTTAACTTTGACCAATTATATATAAATATACTTTCATAATATACTTATTTGGAGATATAAATGTTGCACGTATTTCTATATACTTAGTAAAAGTTAAGAAAGTTTAACCTGCACGCGTCCCATAACGACTTTCTTTTAGGAATGAGGGAGTATGTTTGGATGTTGTCGGATTCACCGCTTAATCCACATGTGTTGGGATGAATTATGGTGAAATTTAATTTAAGTTTCACTCTAATCCATTTAGCCAAGTATATAGATTGCTTTGAATCCGACTATATTGGAGTACTAGAGTGTCGGCTCCACTCGGGTACACGGTACACCGGGGCCTCTCGGCAAATATAACAGGCGCAGGCCACGATATGTTGTCGTGCGTGGCCTCGTGGCCGTCCATACGATCGAATTGGTCAGGGGCGCGTCGCGTAGCGCTGTCTGCATGCCCAGGAGGCAGGCAGGACCACAGGAGCAGGTTTTGGTTCACATCGACGGACACCGGTTGATCAAAGGACGGACGTGTCACGTGTGCTTACTGACACAACTGTCGCCAGCTCAGGGCTGCTAGTATGAGCCTGAATTCTATACCTACTCTCTCTGTCCAACAAAAATATAACTATGCATTGCGTTCTAAAAAAAATAGTTCACATTTGATTAGGTTTTAAATGAATATTATTCATATTTATGGCTCTAAATTAATTTATTATAAAAATACATTTCGTAACGAATCTAATAATATTTATTTAATATTATAAATATTGATACTCTTTTATTTATAATTAATTAAATTTAAGATACTAAAACGTGATACTATGCTAGAATCATATGTTTTTTTTATGGGCAGTGCTAATTTTGTCAATAGTTATCGGAGTCTACCAAACTGACAACCTGGAAACCCCGAAAGAATGATTAGCTCCAAACCATTGCTCAGGCGCGTGACCCAACATTGATCATGGTCTTGCGGCTTTTGGCCCTGTTCATGTGTCCTTAAATCCGGCTTGATCCGTTTATTTTTTCATCTAAAACAATATTTTTCTCTCATAAATTCCTCCAGCATTCCTCCAAATCATCCAGATTCCTCCAAAATTTAGACAAGTGAACAGGCCACCTTGTTGTTCGAGCTGATTAGTAGTTCCTCTGTCTCTCCTCGTTCTCACGTTAGATCAAACCCAATAATAGAGTGTTTAGCTGTAAATCAATTATAAGAGCTAAATTATATGATAGTTGTCTCTCTTTTTTTCTTTAAAATACCTTTTTATTATTATTGAGTGCTATTTTTACTCATACATCATGTTCTCTTTTCTATTCCTCAAAAACATTTACTTCGAGGGCCCAAGCCGCTAGAGGGCCATGAGTATATTTGTATGTAGTAGGTCTATATAACCATTTTATAATAATAAAACGTTGTAGGTCCATATATTCGGTACATCATCCCATGAGACCTTTGAAGGTCAGCGTCTTTTCCTATTCCCTATTGACATCATTTGTCTATCTCGTGGTCTTATCCGACGCCCAAGGCATCGCGCCTCGACCGGTCGACTGATCGTATTCTTAGCCACCTAATGCCAGTCCCAATGAAAAAACTGATACGATTTTCATAGCATAAGAAATTATTTATAGAAACTATCTTCCACAGTGGAGGTGTTTTTATGTAATAATTATTTTCTCTTTCTCTCTTCTAACTCTATCTTCTTCCTCTAATGAAAGTGTGGTACGAGCCCCTGAAAACTGGTGGTTTCTCCCCAATAGCGATTTCATGGTTTCTTGGCACATTGGGTCAAGAGAAGACCTGATTTCTTTATGAGGAAACCATTTCTAGGATTTTTGCTCTCTTTCTTCATTAATTACGTTGCCATGTCATCATTTTGCCTACGTGACAAGTCATTTAATGAGGATAGAAACCATCATCAATACACCATTAAGACTACCCTAAGGGCCTGTTTGGATCATACATGAGCTTCTAAAATTCCTGTCACATCGAATGTTTGGACACGTTCATGGAATATTAAATATAGACTAATTAAGAAACTAATTGCACAACTTACGACTAATTTGCGAGACGAATCTTTTAAGACTAATTAGTCCATGATTTGACAACGTGGTGCTACAATAAATATGTGCTAATGATGGATTAGTTAGGCTTAAAAAATTCGTCTCGTAAATTAACCTCCATCTATGTAATTGGTTTTGTAATTAATCTATATTTAATACTCCTTATTAGTATCTAAACATTTGATGTGACATGAATTTTAGGAGCGACTAAAGAACCAAACACCCCTCTAATTGTGGAGTGTCCAACACCGTCGCCCGCCGGCCGCCGGATGATCGGACGCACGGGTGCTTTTAGGGCAGCTTTTGTCATTTTGTGTAGCTTTTAGACTTTGATTCTCTTCCGCTCCTTCGGTCCAGTATATAAGGTGTAACCACCTCTGATTCAAAGACCGAGGAACGCATTTAATTCTCTCAATACTGGCACTATGGTATCGATGTATGTTTCTCTAGAAAGAGCACGCCTTATATTATGGGACATGAATAATTCAGAGGGAGTATTAGTATTATAGAAGTACTACAGGCCATCGACTAGCTAAGGCGTAGGTAGGCGTATTTTATTTGTTTTATTATTTTTCTTGTATTATTTTTTACTACTTTTTTATATTAAATTATTACGGTAAAGACTGTTCTAAATTTTATATTCTGTATATTTATTTTCCATGATAGATATTGCCTACATTTTCTGGTGTTTAGAAAAATTAGTTTAATGGACCCTTACCATCTTGCTTGACAAGGGCCTTCAAAATTGTAGAGATGGTCCTGCCCGTACCTAGCTTATTGTTTATATGAGAGCCAAACTCTTCTCTTTTCTATCATTTATATTAACAAAAATACTGACTAGCTTGACTATAAGACAGCCAGTGTACTTATAACTCTGTGAAGAAACAGAGAAAGAGAGAATTATTTGATCTGGCAGGTGGTCGCCATATGAATGGCATCTGTTTATTGCGGGGGTCCAACCTGCGACGTCGTCCACGCTGAAATGTCCTCGGCAAAGGAGACATATAGGTGATAGGCTCCTTGTAGCACTGTAGCTGCGTGCATCAATGGTTCAGCATCAAAGAATCTAGCACCTCTCTTGTTACAAAGAAAATTTGTCACAGTCCAAAAGGCATTGGTTCGTAAAGACTTTACCCCATCCGGTCAAGAAAACATGCATGCAGTTTTCCTTTGGACTGGAACTGAGAAGAGAGTTGCATCGGTGGCTTCATTTCTCAGGGCTACGGTTCAACTGAGGCTGGTGGCATATCGCTGATGATCAGCCGGGAGGAGTGCGCCCGCATCGGTTCCGCCGGCCGTCTCTCGGAGAACGCGGAGGTGAAGATCGTGGACCACGTGACCGGCAAAGCCCTGTCCGTGGGCCAGGAAGGCGAGCTTCTGGTGAGAGGGCCTGCCGTCATGACTGGTAACTAGCTAGGATCCCTACTGGTAACCACCAGCCAAAGATGCATGATAAGCCGATGCTGCTGGATTCAGATTTTCTTTCTTTCTTTCTTTCTTTCTTTCTTTTTTTTTCAGCTCAAAAAAAATGTTCTGAAACGCAGGATATGTTGGCGACGAGGAGGCCAACGCTACTAGTTTTGATTCTGAAGGCTGGCTTAGGACTGGGGACCTTTGCTACATTGACCAGGACGGCTTCTTGTTCGTGGTGGACAGGCTGAAAGAGCTCATCAAGTACAAGGGCTATCAGGTTAGTTTGCAGTTTAATGTGGTCTTGTTTTCAAAGCACATATATCGCACCCTTGCAGTTTCAGACTGATCTGGGTGATCTATTCATCGCTGCAGGTTCCACCTGCAGAGCTGGAGCTTGTCCTGCAGTCGTTGCCGGAAGTTATCGATGCCGCAGTCATGCCGTGAGTCGCCACTAGAACACACACGTTGGCAGAGTTGCAAAACATGCTCAGTTATTTCTATCTCATCTGCAGAATTCATGGTTTCACTGAATTTGTTTACAGGTATCCTCATGAGGAGGCAGGGCAGATACCGGTCGCGCTTGTGGTAAGGCAGCCTGGTAGCAAGGTCACGGAGGCTCAAGTCATGGACCACGTCGCAAAGCGGGTGGCGCCTTACAAGAAGATCCGCAAGGTGCTCTTCGTTGAGTCCATTCCCAAGTCTCCGGCTGGGAAGATACTGAGGAGGCAGCTGACCAACCATGTGCAGGCTGGGGCTGTCTCTAGAATGTAATTCTTCTTTACTTGCATGTGTGCATGAGACAGATTGTGTGCAAAGAGAATTAGAGCACGATTTTTGAATTGAAAGAATAATAATGACATGCTGTGGAATTCTATCTATCTACAGAAGTAAAATCTGGACCAAAGGGCATGAACAGTGTTACATGTCAGTTTTTTTCTTTCCCCCAAAGTAGAATTCTGGACATCGGTTTGGCTCTACTAATGATGCCCACCAATGCAATTATGCAAGTAGATTAAAAAAAAGAACTTGTATTCTATCTCACGCCTGTTGAGCTGCACTCTACCTGAATCCTGCATGCCTGTTGAGCTGCAGTGGAGTGGACAGTATGCAGGCCACCGACAAAAATAGTTTTCTGAATGGACCTGTTGAATTACCGGTGGTTTTCTGAATGTGCGTTGCTCTCTTTCTCTTAAGAAACATGCATGTTCATCATCTTTTGTCTGGCCATTGTCCATTCCTCTGCTCTTTCGTTGGACAATCCGGTCCTTGTAATTTCATGGTGGCTTCAGCTCAATTGTCTCATTTTTCAGAGATGCAGACTGTCCCGTGCTATTTTCTTTTTCTGTTTCGCAGTTTTGACTTTTTTTTTCTCCGGGCTTCACAGCACTGGTTTCCTTGCATCCCTGAGACCTTAGTATACATGTTAGTTCTATTAATTGTGTTGTCATTTTAATAACAAAAAACTACAAAGAAACATGACATTGAGCTATGTTCGTTACAAAGTTGCCGCATAGAAGTCGTGTGCTCGGGTGCCCTTCCTCAGAGACAAGTATCTAAGCTCATAATCTCTCCTACAAGTCCAAAAACCAATGACTCATTTTTGGAAGGGTCTAATGAAAATAAAATATTAGGCTTTGTCTTATGGTTCCTTTAATATTAATAATAGAAGGCAACCACCCATTCAAATACCTTTATCCGACACTTTATAATATCATGCAAATCATCCGCGTGATATAGTGACCAATGTTATGAGATCAAAACCATTGAATATTTCATTCCAGAGAGCTCTAGTGGGTCCGCATGATATAGTGACCAATGTTATGAGATCAACACCATTGAATATTTCATTCCGGAGAGCTCTAGTGGGGGATAAACTCGATGAATGGGAAGACTTAGTAGCTAAGATCACGTATATCAATTTAACTAATGAGAGATATTTATTTACTTGGATGTTACATAACAATGATCAATTTACGGTCCTATGAATACTATGTATTAGTTTCGTTGAAATTTGCTCAAAGTGCATCTTCAAGCACACATGTTGAAACTTAAAAGTTGCCTTTGATACTCAAGTTTCAATTTTCCGAATGTCAGAGTCCAGTTTCCAGACCACGTATCTTTACTCAGGTGAAAATTCTCTACTAGTTTATGAGCATGTTATAAGAAAAAAAAAAGAGTTTTTAGAGAAGTTTCACACCTATATTAAATGTGTTGTAAGAATTGCATGAAATATTCATTCCCCATACCCAAATTTTAGTTACACCAATTCTATCTAGAAATTACACCAAAATAATCACCGTAACTCTAGTGCAAATTGATCAAGTTGACTGTAACTAAAATTGGAGTGTGGGATAGAAGACTTTTCACCCAAATATACCACGAAACTGTACCAGAATAACCACATTAACCTAGTACAAGTTAAATGTAAATTCAGCATATATTGACAGTAACTAAAATTGATGTGTGGGAGGGAAAATTTTCACTGGAATCTTAATTTTATTCCATGCATGTTATTTAAGAATTAGAAAAAGGAAAAGAAACGGAAAGCCAAAAATTCAGGTGGAGGAAAGATTTTCACCTAGGCGTGATATAGCAAAACTACAAAATTAAACCAGCGCAAATAGCATATTGACAAGAGTTCCTGTACGGACCATTGAGCCACTAATTATCAAAACAACTACGTACACGGCATGATACTGATCTGTACCTAAACATCTTAGATAATTCCGCCAAAAAGAAACTTGAATCGTGATAACAAACATCAGTTCCAGCTGGGAACTGCACATCTACAATAGAATACATGGCAAGCGAAAAAGGGTAGAGACACGATTAGCGTTGTCTTTGTCTTCGCTCTCACAGATTTTTCCGATCAGCGCCGTTGTTCTCATTCATTCTCCAATCTTGCTATGTACTTATCGTAGAACTTGCCTGCCTTCTCGAGCTCACCAAGCTCGGTGTAGCAATCAGCTATTGCTCCATATGCTTCAGTGACACCTGCATCCTCTCCGGTCATCTTGGAGATGTTTAGCACCATGGAGTGATAATTTATGGCTTCCTTGTACTTGCCTTGTCTTTGCAAGGATGCCCCTGGAGAATGCAAAGTAACTTCGTTACTTTTCACAAACACATCAGACTGTCTGTGGTTTCCATTTTTGCTGTATAGTGAGGGGAAAAAGAACTTCAAGTTTTGATGGGGGACACACTAACAATCCTATCATGTTTATATTATCAATTTTTAACTTGGTTAAACATGCCTGAAAACATTTTCCTTTGTTATCATTTGTGAACTTGTACTTTTGCATAGCATGTAGCATTTAACCAAATAAAAAAAGGAAGGTACTTGAAGATTCTCACAATTCCATGAAACTATCTGCGAAACCAAACCATGAAACTATAATTTCACAAAATAATGAACAAACCTAATCCTCGTGCTGCCTTCTTCTCTTCAACATGATCACCTAAAGATTGTGCAAGATCAAGAGCTGCCTTAAACTCAGGAAATGCCTTGTCAGGAGCTTGGTTTCTCAGATAGTTCTTCCCAGTCCTGAGATATGCAATTAGGCGCTCTTTCTGAGGATCAACAATAACTTCTGATTCAGGTATCTTACTACCAACTGGGGCATAGCTCAAGGTAGGAGCATAAGATTCAATCTTGGCTTGTCTTCTCAGTGCAGCATTTATCTGACGTAATTGATCATTTAGACGTGCAAGCTCCCCTCTCCTCTGTCTCGCAAGGAGCCCTACAGGATATCTGAATTGTTCAGCATGATGAAGAAACCATGCATATAACAAAACTTAAAGTCTCGACTATGCAAAATCAACAACCCAGTTATAGTCAAAAGAAACAGGGAAGGTAGTCAGCACAAAAGACTATAATGCCATAAATAGTTGCAGATACAAAAGAAAACTGGAAATTAGTGGAAATAATCCAGTTCTTTCAGACTAAATGGTAGGAGGTCAGTTGGTGGGAGGTGTGGGTGTACACTCCCAGAACCTAAGTTCAAGTCCTCTTCAACTCAAATTTGGGTGCCTATTTCCTCTTATTTACAATGAGGTGTGTTTTTCACAATAGCTGGGTGCAGAAATTAAGGTAAGCAGGAGTCACTTGGGTAATCGGTAAGATAACTAGGATGCTCCTAAATGTAATTTTCTTTGCATTCCGTGTTTGTTGCATCTGAATCTGCATTTCTATGTATATATGTTTTAAATTTAACAACATGCACTGCTAAATAACAAACTGGGGAAAAAAACAATCGAATATAAAAAGTTGTGTTTAACAAGTATTCAGCCTGTTCGTTTCGTTGTATACGATCGTGGATTATAAGCTGCAACAGTATTTTTCTCTCACACCAAACCAGCCAGCAGTACTTCTGGCTTATAATCCACGATCGTTTCAGCCGAAATGAACAGGCTGATTAACTTGCAAGAGTGCATAGCATGCTCCTGCATTTCCCTGGAATTAGAAGTGATTCCGTGTGTGCTCTTAACGCTCAGATATTTAAATCATTTGTAACAAAATATGATGTCGATGACCATTAGAAAACATAAACACAGAAGTAAGGAAACCGTCCACTGTGTATTGTCGTGCTTAAATCCACAACCAGTTCTCAAGCTCCAACCAACGTTCTATGCATGAAACTTTATTTTAAGTTAAGAGTGTGATGAGCTTACCTCCAACAGTAGCACCAACCATGGCTATTGCGAACAGCAATGGCATGTTAGGGAGAGAGTATGCTTGCTCACATGGTTCTGCTATACAACTGGGTGGTAGAACATACATGATACAACTACTGAGAAGACATGCTTTGTTAAAAGGAGAAAATACAACTTCCTGCGACAAGTATAAGAAAATAATGAGTTGCATATCATTATAGCTGAGGTTTCCGTACACAATTTGCAAGGAGAAAAATTTAAGATGTGTTCAATAAGACAGTACTAGGTTACTTTTAATTATTTGGAAAAGTTAAGTCCCCTTAAGCCTTATTTCAAATCAAAGGGTTGTTTATGTTAACAGATGATACATGCTAAAAATAGAGCAAGGGACTCACCATCATACCTGAAGATCAGATAAGGATTTCATGAGATCATGTCCATATACACTAGCTACATGGATGCCATCATTCCTAGAATCGTTGTGATCAGTCAGTGATGGGGCACGCCGAGCCGCAGAACACTTAATAGGACAGGACAGACTTGCAGTGCTGTCAACTAGTAAAGGAAGAAGAAATGATTGTTCTGCATGCCAAAAGTGAATTAGTTACCTAAAGTAAAATTTTGCATCACATTGTGTAAGTATTACAAGGACTGTCAGAAATATGAATTATAAATTTGGATCATGATCACTAGTGACATCACATTCTAGAAAAAAACACAAAATTAGCAGTAACTTGCACATTCTTAATACTGTCAAATACTTCATTAAATTGACCAGCATAATTGTGGTGTTAACTAAACAGGTGTAAAGTTAAATTCTATCAAACAGAATAACCATATTAACTTAACAACAATATCCTATGGGAATAATACATGCATGGGCATGGCAACAAAAAGGTGGGATTTTTCTTTCCCGGTTTTCAGGCAGAACCACAACGCAAGAATGAAACATTAAAGATCAAATGGCAATACTCTTCTAGCAAGCAAAGACTTTACAAACTTAAAGTGAGTCATTTTGTCACAAAAGCACTCACTTTAAGCGTGTAGTGCAAGTAGGCAGAGATATATGCTGCCACGCTCAAAGAAATGGAGAGATGTGGACCTGATAGAAGCAAGTTTTAGAATGGAGGCTACTCAAAGGTCAAAGTTGTATTTCCTTTTAAGGGAGTGCATATTGCATAAGAGCTCCTCACATTAACAAAAGCACCTAGCTAAGCATTAGCACAGCTATACTGAAGTCAAACAACACCTTGTAGGATAATACTGCCCTCCTCTCTCACATCACAAGAAAAGAGGAAGAAAAAGTTCATAACACTAGTTAATCGTCGACACGTTTAACAACAGGCCCTCTATCACAGCAAATTACCACCACTAACAAAAGCTTATGGGGGAGAGGATCTGGATGCCAAAAGTTGTCATCTGCCCAAACAAGACTAAAAAATAAAGGCTGTATGGGCAGTACCCACACATCCTGACTTCGAGATTATATATTGAAGTTGTGAACCTGGTATCGAACACGTCTTCAGGGTCCAGGCAGCCATTGGCAAAGGGATTATACAACCAAAACACAATGGTTGATGGGACATTGTCTTGCACTCTCGCAAGATTTCCGAGTCACTAAAGCTCCTATCTTTTTTTTTTCGAGAACGTGAGTAGCACATGTTTCATTAAGAAGAAGTTAGAAGGTTTACACACCCAACATCACATCACGGCGAGGTGCCATGAGCAATGGGGTTGAACACAAACACAAGGCACCGCTAGGCGGTGGAATACACGCTGTTGTAACTAACTAAGAAACTAAAAGTGCGACCGCAGAGCTTGCGACGTTGAGGGAGCCCGTGCTCAGGATGCCTGCGTCGCCGCCCGCCTCCTGCGAGCACCAGCCATGGGGAAGAGTTCCCGCATTGCCGCGCGCTTGGACGAGGACAACGGCTTCTGGAACGTCTCGTGGAAACGAGTGGCAATGGAGGTCTCCGCCTTGGGGTCGCGGTAGACAAACTTCGCCACAAGCCTATCACTGCGACGCGGGACGAGGTTCTCCACCGGAACGCGCGAGACACAGAGGCGCGGTGGCGACTGGATGAGGGGCTTGTCGAGCGGCAGCTTGAGGCCCTCGATGAAGTCTTGGACAGAGGTTGAGCGCACTTTAGCTGGGCCTACAATGGGAGGCTGGGCTGTAAGAGATCCGACAACAGGCGGGCTACAGTTGTTCGGCGTGTTGAGAATCGCCGTCACCTAGGCTTGGTTGACCGAGTCCATCAGCGCATGCTGGGGAGGCTGGTCACTTGGCGAGCCCACGGTACCCTCACGCGGGCGCGAGACGCGGAGGCTCGGAGGTGACTGGATGAGCAGCGGCCTGATCGGAACCTTGAGCCCTGGCATGAAGTCCGGCACTGTCCTCTGTTGAACTGTACGAGATCCGGCAACGGAAGGGGCTGGGCTAGCCGGCGTGCCGTGTGGAAGGCCCGCTTCGTCATTAGGAGATGAGTCCGCATCCGCGCACAGGAGCCCAAGAAGTTCCGGCCCATCAGCGTACTCCATCTCCTTTTCATTGCCGTCAGGGGGGTACACCGCGACCGTGCTAGCCGGCAGCCCCAAAGTGTGCCCGCCCTCACTTGGCGACACCGGAGCTCCCCCTCGATGAACCGGGCGGCAGTGGCGGACCTAGCACTAGGGCCACTACGGCTATAGCCCTAGTCTTAGCCCTTAATTACAGTGGATAAAACACTATTTTTTCTATAGCCAAGCACAAATAGCAATGATCTCTAATGTAGTGGCCCTAGTCTTTGGTGAATCCCGGGTCCGCCCCTGCCGGGTGGGGCGGAGGGCCATGCCATGAGGTCATGGTCCGCAGCCACCAGCTGTGCAGTCCACGACTCCTCTGGATGGCAACTTTGCAGCGACATATCCGGCTCTGAGAAGGAAAGCAGCGCCTCGGCAGGGAGCGGCCCTAGAAACTGAGCATATCATCACCGCGATTCCTAGAAACCTCACTGTGACGACTACAGCACTGAGCACCAGACCGGCAGCTTGCAGTAGCATTCAGTGACACACGCACAAGTACAACAAACAGAAACAACCGAAGTAGAGAGAGAGGGGATGGCGTGCATTTCGTCGAGCAGCTCGGGTGCGCAGCAGTTCGGAGGCGCGAGAGACCAGAAGAGCACACGGTCTGGAGGTAACTCCTGCTCAGAGGAGCAATGGATTGGATAAGCCAGCGTGAAACGATAGGAACGGAGGCCGCGAGAAATTGAGGCGTGGCACGTCTACGGGTACTAGACCAAATTCCAAAGAAAAAGAGGGAATGCCGAATGGCCATGCAAGGAAAAGAGGGAAACGGACCGAGGAGCAATTAGGGGGCACTCACTGAAAATGGCCTCCGGGAGGACGACGCGCGGCGAAGCCCTGCCGCCGGAGCTCCGCCGGGGCGGCGCTGACGGAGCAGCGAGGCGCAGGAGAAGCGCCATGAGGTAATAGGATAAGGGAGGGAACCAAATCCGCGAGGGGCTCATATCGTCACGTACATGTTTTTTTTTAGTTTTAGCCGGTCATTTTTCATGCAAGACCCTAGAAAGGATGTGATATTACATCATAATTCTAAGCCCTGGAGGCGTAAACAAAATTGAGCACGAAGAATCGTGGCTGAAGCCGCTGTTCTTCACATCAGGGATCAGTGCAGGTCAATTTCAGGAAACGGAAAACGTAGTTAGAAATATATTGGAGAAGAGAAAACAGAGATGAATTGGAAGAAGAGAAGTGTGAGAACTGACGCTTATTTTGAGACAAGCATACAAGGCTAGAATGAGAATGACACTTATTTTGGATGGATAGTAAGCACTTACAAAAGCAAACTATGCCATCTGAATGTCAATGCCACCATAAAATGCATGTATTGGATAGACAGACTTGAAGAAATACTAGTAATATTACTTAGCAGCACAGTATACATAACTGGAATATGTTACAATTACATGCAGTAAATGAGTAAACTACAACTGGCATTGCATTATAGCGTTTCGTGAACTCTGCAAAATATCCCTAATTGTACAACAGCGTAGATTAACGAAACCTAGAGCCTCGTTAATCTACACAAACAAGGATATCTCTGGTGGTTGGACAAAGGAGAAGATGGCTTCACCGAAGACCTCATACAGAGACCCCAAGAGATGACCGGTGTCCTGATCCTCGTTCCAAGCTTGCCTAAGCACTGCAGAAACTCTCTGTGCGAGATCACTGCCCTGATCTCTCCGGATGGCAGCTGATGGGATGCTCTCCACCATCTGCCCAGAGGACGAGACCTGCATCATGCCAGGGTTGGCTAACTGGTTGGAAAAGCCATCCATGGCACCTTGCATGTTTCCTCCCATGGAAGCTGAGGCCATGGAGTTGGCTGTTGCGTCTGTTGCCATCTTCTTCAGAGGTGGCTGAGTTGCAGAGAGATTTGTGCTAGATTTTCGCTTATCTGAAATTTGCAGAGCAACATACTCTTTACTTTCAAACTCTACTAACTCAATTGCTGACAACAAGGGCCATTTGGCACTTAATTGCCAGTCAAACTTGTGTCTAGTGTGCATATATTCAACTGATAGTGTGCTTATATTCAGCACTTACTTGGGTCGTTGGTTAAGACCCTTTTATTGCTCCGTAAAAGAGGCCGCGTGGATGGAGAAAGCAAACCAGGAAATAATTTCAACCGATGATACAAGCATTTGCCTGCAGCACACTAAAAAATGCATCCCACTGGTAAGAAACTTAGCTTGGCATTAGTTGGTGAACCAAAATACAGTAAACATTATATTCACTGAGGACTCTAAACTGACCAGCAAGGCACCATAAACACACCAAGCTTCCTTCCGTTTCATCTCATGTTTCTGCTTCTCAAGCTGCAGTTCCGGCTCCAGAAGTTGCATATATGTCACAAGGTTGGGCAAAAGAAGAAGTCTAATCTGGTAAGCAGAAAAAAACAATCAGCCAGTGCATAACTAATACAAAAAATGAGTTTCGAATGGGATCTACCGCGCTGGGCCCCAATGCAGATATCCCTTGAACAGCACCATAATGTTGTGTCAGTGATTTGGCAGGATCAAGAAATGCATGGATCAATGTTTTAGTTAACCGATTTTGAAGGTTGTGATAGACATGACCAAACCTGAAAACCATCATCTTCAGTTGATCAACAATGTCATGAGAAAATTATTAAGGCAATTAGCCAATTACTACATACAAAAAAGACCAATTAGCAAAGAGAGCTAGAGATCATCATTCAGAAAAGGACTCACCTCCTGCGTATTCCAGAAGAAAAAAAGAAAAAGAAAAGGACTCACACTCCATGAGCAGATTATGCAAAAGGCTATGGATCTATCAATTCCAAAAGAAAATGGATTTATGGGGAACACATAAGACACGAACAAACGATGACCCACCCAACAAATGCATGAAGATATAACTGAAATAAATCTTCTGTCCACACACAGCATACTGAAAATATTAAATTTACCAGTTGGTCTCTAAAAGGAACACAATATGTAGTCTACTCGGTAGCAAAGCCATGCAATGGTTTATTGGTATGTTTTCCGCTAAAGAAGATGTAAGCCGCCATGAAACTGATCATGTCACATATAAGTCACATATAAAATGATCCCACAAAACAGTAAAATCTTATATATGGAAGAAAAGAGTATGAAATGGTGGTCAAACTATTATTGACTTGACCTTCATCTTAAACCTGTCAAAAAGATAGCATATTAGCATAACTAAGATAAAGCACTTTTATGGGCACTGATAGAATCCTTGATCCTACCACGACTACGGAGAGCGTAGGGGTATGAGGTGGGAGGCCGGGGTCAGAATTTCCGGGCCCGAGTTGGTGCCGTGGTGACGAGCGGAGCGGCGGCACTAGGGCGTGCGGTGTGCGTGAGGGAGAGAGAGGAGTCGGCGCTGGGAGATGGCCCATGAGGCCAGGCAAGATAATTGCCTTGCTTGATTAATTCCAAAAGTATCAAGGGGTATTTATCCCTTCTCCTAACATGCCAATTAAGATCCTATATTTAAGGAAATAAACAAAATATCTAATGGAACGAAATCCTGGGCGCCTAGGCTCCCTGTACGCCAGCCGCGCCTAGCCACTTGGTCAGGCTCGGAGTTGGTAGGTGACACCGGTCATAACAGGCACATTTTGTATGAACTGTTCTCTAAGATCATAATATGGGAATCAAGGAGTTGAAATCATAAATGTAATTGAATTAAATTTTGATAATTATACAAGGGACCTACTGACACCCTTCACATATCACTCACCTCCGACACACCGAGGCAACCAAATTGGCAGAGAAGTCTCTAAGTTCCCAGTGGTTGTCTGAGAGCCTGTGCCCTAGCCTTTTTGCAACAATACAAGTGATCATTGATGGCATCAGCTGGTGCAACTACAAATCAAGACAAATATTGCTAATTTAGGATTAATATATGATGAAAAGAGTATACAAAATGACTAAAAAAATAAGCCACGCACATGATCGATCAAAACTTTATGGTTTACCACTTACATAAGGTTCAATATGAATATGTGGATTACGGAGAAGACTTTGGACTACTCTCATTAGAGCAAATAAAACAGGAAGATCACCCAAACTCCGGGTAACCTGAAATTCAGATGGATACGCACTTTAAGTAATGCCATATCAAAAAAAAATAACACCAAAAGAAAGAAAGCTACTGTACAACCTCGTCTGCAATGAAGTAGGAAAAGTAAGGAACCAAAGGATGAAGACCAGAATCTTTTGCCAAGCTCACTAAAGCTTCTTTAAAAAGGGACGTATCAGATCTACTCATAGTAAGCTCAGCTATTTTATCAAAATACATCTGCAAACCAAACAGTGAAGAGGTATATAAGTTTCTTGGAAATATATGAGTAATATACAATGCATGGTATCATAATCAAAGTACCTGCAATTCTTTAGACAATACATGCTTAACAGGAAGCTTGACATCAACTGGAAGTCCATCATCCTTCCCATGCTCAGACCTTTTATTTTCAGTTGGTGGTACAATTGCTGAAATAAAATGCTATTTGTCTCAACAAGTGTTTTTTCTCTTAGAGAAGAATGTGACTACATCTTGCCAAGGAGAAAAGTAAGGACTATAAATCTCTGGACAAAAAGAGCAAACCGTCAATAGCAGGATTCTCCGGTATTGCAGGCTGTACCCCCTCAATCGCTAGCCAATGGGCTACAACTGATGTGTCCAGTGGGGCTTTAGGCAGAGGAGCTTCAATAATCTGCATGACACCAACCAGGAAGAAACATTTCAAATGAATGATTTTGAAATAAGTGGTAGGAAAATTCAATAAGCATTAATATTGCCCCTACCTCTTTGAAGTCTACCTCCCGATCATCAAGATAGAAGAGATCCTTATGCCCAACAGCTCTCTTAAAACGCAATGGATCACCAGAAGCAAATCCATACACGGGCTGATTGAGAACCCATAGTAATGAAACAGCAGAGTCAGCTCAAACAAAACAAGGTGTAGCAGAGGAATTTCAACA